TGTTGCTTTTGCTATTGCATGTGGTACATGTGATTTTTGTAAACGTGAAGAATATTCATGTTGTGATACAACTAATCCATCAAGATTAATGGAACAAATGTATGGTCAAAAGACAGCAGGTTTCTATGGTTATTCACATTTAACAGGTAATGTTCTTAAGTTGTTGTTTTTTTAAAACAATTAAGACATTGTAATATATATATATATTTTTTTTTTGTTGATAAGGTGGTGTACCTGGTGGACAAGCAGAATATGTACGTGTACCATTTGCTGATGTTAATTGTCTACCAATTCCAGATGATATACCAGATACTAAAGCACTTTTTCTATCGGATATTATTCCTACATCATATCATGGTTGTGAAATTGGAAATGTCAAAAAAGATTCTGTAGTAGCTATATGGGGTCTTGGACCTATTGGATTACTTGAAGCACGTTGGTGTCAAATTCTAGGTGCTAAACGTATTATTGGTATTGATTGTGTTCCTGAAAGACTTGATATTGCTAGAAAATATCTTGGTATTGAAACGATTAATTTCAAAGAATGTGATACAACTAAAAAACTTCTTGAATTGGTAATACTTTTCTTTTTATTTTTTTGTTTCTTATATTTGAATAAAAGAATTATTCATTTTATTATAGGTACCTAATGGTGTTGATTGTTCATTAGAAGCAGCTGGTTTTGATTATGCTAAATCACTTTTACATAAGATTGAACGTTTTCTTAATTTGGAAACAGATGCTGGAGATATACTTAAAGAAATGATACTATGTACACGAAAAGCAGGTACAATTTCAATTATTGGTGTTTATAATAATACAGTAAATCATTTTCCTATTGGACCAATGATGGAAAAACATTTAACTGTTACTGGTGGTCAAGCATATCCACAAAAGTATTGGAAAATGTGTCTTGAAAAGATTCGTTCAGGTGAAATGGATCCAACATTTGTTGTTTCACATCATATTAAATTAAGTCAAGCACCTGATTTTTATAAAAAATTTGATGATAAAGCTCATGGAGCATTGAAATGTTTTATTAGACCAGATGATATTGCAGAAGGAAAACAATGAGTTGATACTTATTATCTGATACTTTTGTTTTTTGTATAATCTAGCGTTCTGTATAATCTAGCCAATTTGATATTTAATAAATTAGATATTAATAAATCGATATAATCTAAAATCTATCTTATTATGAATGATAAATATTTGTTTACATAAACTTAACAAAAAAAAAAAATTAGATAAATTGATATTAATGCAACAGAAGAATACACAAAAACATTAATCTTAACTTGAAAATATGATAGTCTAGATCAAAGTTTAACTAATTGATTTTTTTTTTGTGATAATAGTTTTTGAAATTCGAATTCTTCTTTTTTTTTCATCCGTGTGAACATGAATTGTAGGTGATGAAATAATTTGACATGAACCGAATACAACAGCTGATATAGATGAACGAGTCGAAGAATTAACTAATGCGTTACAGCCGTTGATAACAAAATGGTAGAGATTACTACTAGAGATTGGTATAATCAAAGAAGTAGTAATCGATGGAAGTCGTTGAAATTGTTCATTGAATTCTTTTCAAGTAAAATCAAATGATTCGACGTCTAGAAGAAGAAGACTAATAGAACCATTGTTTAATATAATGTACAAGATTATTGAGTTAACATAGATTCACAGGAAACTTTTCTATACTCACACATTTGTTACAATTTTAACAATAGAACATATGAATAGTTATCTGGCCTTATATTATGGCGCGTCACATCGGGTCTAAATTTTGGTAGATCTCGCTGGGAAAAGCACAAAATTTGTATGAAGCGACCCTCCAGGGGGGGGGGGGGTTATTATTTATCTTTAGTCCAGCTACTCTCTTTAAAACAAATGAAAATGATGCAGAGGAATCAATAATGAAGTCAAAAATTAGCAAGGACATGCTATACAAAAACCAGACTATGCAAACCAATCCTATGCCTGGAAAAATTTGAAGAGAAACTAATTATGAATAACAAATGCAACATCAATTGTGAAAAACTGTCAATTAAAATGAGATAAATTTAGTTTCTCCTGGACGTTTCGGATCTATGATATGAAAAGGGAGAAAATTTTATGTTTACATTTGAATACTTTGAGGTAGATATATCAACAATAACGATTAGATGAAAATGAAGTCAAAACAAAAATAAAGAAGGATTCATTTTTTTTCTCTCTTGTACAATTAGTCGTGTTAATATACAATAAGAAAACAATATTTAAGTTACTCTTATCGCATTCAGCTTTTTTCACGTTTAGTGTTTCATATATTGTTATACGATTTGTCTAAAAATACAATTGAGTAAATTATAAGAATAATTTCAAGATATTTAACAAAAATTACCAAAACAATTCATTCAGAAAAAAAAACAACTTCACAATTTCGATATAATCTCTATAGATTACGAGTAGGATTTTTTATTGAGTAAAGATTATAAGTACCCTATTCGACTCTTCCTTGCAGAGTCACTGATAAGTCTCCAAACTAATCCTCAATAAATCTCCAAAAACATAAAAACTCCCCAGTGACTTTATTATTTTTTTATTTAGATTAAAAGCAACAATAAATGCAATGGCAAGTACTATGTCAAAAAAAAAAAAAAAAAAAATCTCATGTCGTTCTGACTAAGTAAAAAATCATCGGTTAAGGGTGTGTATGGATAATAAAAAGACTCAATAAAATGTAGACTATCTGATGCGTATTCATGGTGCATCTTACAATGTATATCTGTAAGCGAAAAAAGATTATAGAATGAATGGACGCATCAATAATCTAGTCAAACAATGGGAAAAATAGTTTGAACTACTATATTACGTGCTCAATATCAATATATATTAACTATAAAAGCTATGCATTATATTGAAAGAAGTCTGTTTTACCGTGCATGATAAACTTTAGGTATTATGAACGCGTTCGTGATTAACTATTTTTATAGTTATACTTAGAGTTATTGAATAAAACCACCGGTTAACTGTGGTGTTTTGATTAAAACCGCAGATTTCACATAAACAAAAACCGACATTATGTGAAATGCATGTTTTTTTTATTTAGATGAATAGCAATAATAATTACAAACTGTAGCTTCAATGAAATATATTTTCTATTTAGATTAAACACAACAATAACTGGAATAATAAATAATATTTTTAAAATTGAATTATATACCTATTGTTTTTTTTTTGTTTATGTTAATCTCAAGGACAACTGCAAATGTACGTCTTATTTTTAGAACAAAAAAAAAATTAAATTGAATTTTTATATTTACGAAATGGAAGACAAAAGAAGAAAGTCATCATGTCCTCACTGACGAGTGATATATATGAATATAATAATATAAACATTACATATGTGGCCATTTACAGCAGTCATAATTCTCATCGTAGATTCCTGAAGAATCCCTGTTGAGGTTCCCCGAGAATTCTTCTAATAAGAATTGACGACTTCGATAAATAATTTAGCTAATTCAATCATTTTTCTATTCTACATAAATCAAGTAAGCATCCATTAAAATATTTATTTGAATAAAAGGCTTTTTTTCTTCTACCCTTTGGTTTTTTTTAATCGTTCGATAGCATTGAATTGTACAAAAATAGAAATGTATTGTTTAACAAATTTTTTTTTTCTCTCTTTGAAGAGTCATTCAGACCAAAAATCTCATCAAGTAAAAAAAAAAGAGGTCTGCTACTCGAAAAAAAGACATTCTTTTTTTTATTAGGTTCCTATGATAAATTTTGTACAATATGAAGAAAAATAGTCTATTTTTATATTAATCGCATTAGTTTTGATGTACTCTCTATGGAAGTGAGTTTCTACAATACCATCTATGGAATTAGAAAAGTCAACAAAAATTCATAACTTTCATGAATTTTATTTCAAAAGTGCGCAAAAAAAATGACATTTTGAATAATGAAACGGGTCGTATTAGTAATATCGTTCTACTTTTGATTCTACATTTCACGTACATATACAACAACAACAGAAAAGCTATTATAATAAACAATATGCATATATAGTTGTCTTTTTTTTTCTATGATTTAATAGCATCATTAATATACTTTCAAATGATAGAAAAACTGAAGTAATAAACTATTCTATCTTATTCCATAATAAACAGAAAACCTTCCAATTATCAAATGAATCGTTGTTGTTAATGCTACAAATTATATGACAGAAATTATAATACATCGGTTTTTTTTTTTATTAGGTAAAATTCGAATAACAAATTAATTTTTTGACACTTGAAGTTTTTCAAAATATGTGAAAGAAAAACAGATTATTTGTCGAAAAGAACTCTTATAACTTGGTAAAAACCTTGATAACATGTTATGAAAAACATGTTTGAAATTTTATTCTATAGTACAAATAATTCTTTTTTTGTTTTATTATTCTTACATCTTCTTATACAATACGTTTATATTATTGTGTTATTCGATAAAAAATTTCATTGTAATGAATTGTCAAAGGCATTATAAATTATTAGGCGCAAAAATTTTTTTCAATACGAATTCAGTTTATTATTACAACTTCGGTTAAAGTTTTTTTTTTTCGCTACTGTTTATTTAACATATTCAGTTTTGCAGCTTCATACAAAAAAAAAAATTAAAGAAAGTAAGAAACAAAAAAAAAAGAGTTGTGAATGTTTTCATAAATCTCCCCCCTTTTTTTTTTTATTTACATCGATTTTTTTTTGAACATACGTTACTGGGTAAGTTTCTTGAATAAATCACTCAGATATAAATGATTGTAAAAAAGAAATTGCCAATGGTGAAATAACCAAGTTAGAATCTGAGTGTTACTGTAAAACAAAAAAACAAGCACATATATATATAAATTATTTCATTGAATACTTTAAAATTATGTTTCATTGATATGTTATTATGACCTTCAATTAAAAATTTAAATATATAATCTATTTAGATCAATCAACTTTACATATTGATTACAAATATTGTACGGGATGGTAAGTATACAATTTTTTTGATATTATTCATTAACAAAATAAGTTTAAAAGAAAATCAATCGTTAGAATTCAATTTTTATAGAACTATCAAAACATTAGCAAGAAAAAGAAAAACTAAACGTACACATTTGTAAACAGAATGAAACGACAAATTGTTAGATGTGAATGGACGAATATGGGATCGATTCTTTTTGTTTTTTTTTTAATAGTTCGAATTGAACTATAATAAAGTAATGAATTTATTAGAGTATGAGTTTTAGATGAGAATGATTCGCATTTGTCTTTTTTTTTTTTGTTGTTTTTGAATTCGAAATCAAATCGATCTCATCTCTATTATATATACTTTATCTAGAGAAAATAGTATTGATTAATGAATGATATAACGTTCAGAATATTACTTATGATATTTTTAATTTTACCTCTTATTTTTGCAAGCATTTTTACTTCTATATTTATATTTGGTTCAAGTACTGCAAAAAAAAAAAAATGCTAATGCAAATGAAATATTTGACGATAAAAAATTTCTTTTCGTATTATTTTCATGGCTGCTTTATTTGTCTTTAATATAAATTGTCAATGTCTTATATTCAAAAAATTCACAGCAGTACACCCACTCACACCTACACTTCATCGATTCTTGTATTAGCAAATAGTTACGAACAACAAAAAAAGAAAATAAAAGAAACATACATACTGAACGAATTTTGATATTTATGAAAAAAGAAAAATTATAATTAAATTTACAAAACATCCATGTTATTAGTTGATCGATTTAAGATGTACAGAGTAAGCTTCTTTTTTTTTTTCTTTTAGTTTATACAACTTTATTCTATATGGAAGATCGAACTCGAATTCCGATTTTTTCATTTATGTTTTTATTCTTATTTAGTTTTTCATAGTTTTTTTTTTCTTAGGAGGGATTTGATAATGAGTGGAAAAGTAATATCTAAGATTATATAGATAACTATTTAAACATGACTAATTATTTAGAAACTATATTTGAATCAGATCAATAATCAGTCAGGTCATCATTCGAATTTTCGTTATGATGCATAGATGACATTTTATTGATCATTATTTGAATAGATTAGTGAAGTCAAATAAGTCAAGGATGCATCAGAATTTAATACGAATGAGAAGTATTTATGATAGATAACTTATTTTTGTTTTCTGAAGTTTCTATTAGGAAAAATGTCATAACTATTTTATTAATTCGTTATGAGTCTTGAAAAACAGAGATGAATACAGGACAACTTTTGTTTAGTTATCTCCTGCAATGGAAAACAAGATAATATCTATCTGTTCTCTGTTTAGTATTCAGTTCTAAGCCGTTAGAAAAAAATTTTTTACTCTTTATAACGCTTATTTTGCATAATAGAGTAATCGACCATATCTCTTATGGATCGTAATTTTTGCAAGTTTTTATCTTACTAATGGACTTCCAACTAATGGAGGTATGTTTTGATTTCATTTGTACTTTATCTAAAACCAATTTTGCATTAATATAATAGAAATTTCTTCTGCAAGAAATTCGTTTGATGATATTCGAGAGCGTTATAGACGCCAAGCAGAGCTTAACACTTGTCCTGATTCATGTGCTTGTATATGTGCTTCAACTGAAGCGCCAACAACCGAAAGAATAACAAGCGCAACAACGACAACATCAACTTCATCAACAACCTCAACATCGACTTTATCAACAACTTCAACATCAGCCTCGACAACAACTACTACAATAACCACAGCAACAACCGCATCGACAACATCAACATCAACCTCTACAACAACTGCTACAACCACAACAGTAACAACAACAACTGAATCGACGACATCAACATCAACAACAGCAACAACAACAACTGCATCGACAACATCAACATCAACAACAGCAACAACAACAACTTCATCGACGACCTCAACAGTAACAACAACAACTGTGTCGACGACATCAACATCAACAACAACAACTGGATCAACGACATCAACAACAGCAACAACAACAACCGAATCGACGACATCAACAACAATAACTTCATCGACGACATCAACAGCAATGACAGCAACAACAACAACAACCTCCACATCAACTACAGTAAATGGAACAACAACAACTGCTACCACTACATCATCAATATCAACCTTTACAACAACAGCAACAACATCAACAACAACAACTGTATCGACGACATCAACATCAACAACAACAACTGGGTCGACTACATCAACATCAACAACATCAACAACAACAACTTCATTGACGACATCAACAGCAACAACAACAACAACTTCATTGACGACATCAACAACAACAAGTGCATCAACAACAACAACATCAACAACAACAACTTCATTGACGACAGCAACAACAACAACAACTGCGTCGACGACATCAACATCAATAACAACAACATCTACATCAACGTCTACAACATCAACAGCAACTACATCTTCAAGTAAATAGAATGAACTATAAATGTTAATAGTTATTAAAGGATTAATTCTATTTCTAATAGTTTTCAGTAACGATCTGAATAATCTCAGATTTGAGTTATTCGTGAATTTTTCACGGAAAATGAAAGTAGACATCGAATACTTGTCGAAAAAGCCATGTTATTTATTGTGTTCAATAGTAACAAGTTCGATCATAAATATTTGAATCGAAAGATAATTATAGATAATTTTTATTCTTCCTTTCATGTAAATTTCAATTATCGTTAAGACTTTATAGATTCATTTTCAAAATTTTCATAGTCTTTCAACAATCATTCAAGCTTAATCTATAAAATTCTTATTAAAAATCTGATACTTTTCTTTAATAAAAAAGAAATTATTAATGTATTTTTGATCAATATCATTTTATGTTCTTTTTTTCTCTAAAATTAGCAACAAGTACATCTACAAGTACAACATCATCAAGTTCAACGGCAACGACTTCAACTTCAACTTCAACCACCACTACAAGTAAGGTTAAAGAAAAGATGATTCGTTATTGTAGTAAATAACTTGGATGAAAGTATTTGTATTTACATTTCAAATGAAAATAAATATTACATTGGCACATAAGTTCTAAGCGTTTGGATCAGTAGAATTATATCGTCAATATGTAACTACATTTTAAGGGAAGTAATTATATATTCTGACAGAGTTCGGAATTCTCTATCACCCTATGTATTTAAGTCTTGACTTGCATTTATTTGCTGAAAAAATATTTTGAATACAGTGAAGATACCCTCAGATTCCCACGAACTCCAGTTTTGGTTCCGTTCTTATGTGTTTCTAAAATTTTTATCTCTACGGTAATCCGGCTTTCTAGAAGAGTAATTATATATTGTGAGAGCTTTTGAAATGCTCTATCGTCCTGTATATTCAGATCTGACTTGAACTTATTTGCTGAAAAATATTTCGAACATTGTCAATACGAATGAGGGTGTCTTCACTGTATTCAAAATAACTTTTCAGTAAATAAATGCAAGTCAACACTTAAATACATAGGGTGATAGAGAATTCCGAGCTCTATCAGAATATATAATTACTTCCCTTAAAATATAGTTTTATATTGGCGATAGAATTCTACTGATTCAAATGCTTAGAACTTATGTGCCAATGCAATAGTTCCTCAAGTAATAGAAATATTAAATCATCGAGTTTACTTTCTATATTAGAACTGAAATTCCCTAAAGGATCAAAAAACATTTGTGGTTAACTGATCTCTTATAATGAATTTTACTTTCTAATTCGTACACTTCAATAGAAATATACTTCTATGTCAAGTATCTTCTTATTCTTACAGTTTTAATAAATATACATATATAATATTTTTATTAGCTAGTACAACAACTACAACTACACGTTGTTTTGATAGATGCTATCAAGTAGACTGTGAAAGAGGCTACACATGTATGATAGATTGCCCGAATACAACTTGTTCAACGCCAACTACAACAACAACAACAACAACAATAGCAACATCTGTTAGTTTATCAACATCAAATTGTAGAGAAGTTGAAGATGAATTAAGACGAGTAAAATTAGGTTTAGGTATTGGTTTAGGTTCTGGTATGTTACTAACTACTGGATTAGCAATTGGTACTTATATTTATTTTTCCAGACAGTAAGAATATCAATTCTATAATAACAATTTCAATTTTCATACTATCTTTTTTCTCATAGAGTTGCACAATATCCATTATCGTCAGCATTAGGACCTGAACACTTAATACGATTTTAATATTTATAAATTATTCAATTCAAAGGATATTGACTTTTCTATTTGAACAATAAAACAATTCTATAATGAAATATTTTTATAGTGTGATTTTATTTTATTCAAGAATATTTTATTAATAAAATCTTTGCGTTTTTCATTTCATTTAGAGAATAAATCATCTAAATAAATGTTCTATATTGTTTGATTGTTTTTTCATGAGAGTAATATGTTGAGAAATTAGTAATCTACAACAGTTATGTTATTAGATCGTTCGTGGAAAGAAATATTTTCCTAAGAATAACCTACTTACGAGAGAAGTTTGATCACATTGAATATTACAAAAATTAATTCTAACTTTCATGTCAATCTCTGTGTTGTCCTTGTGTCTACCTTCTCTGCTCATCAATGTCGACAAAATTTTGTCTTAAAAGAAGTAATTTTGAATATCTTTGCACAACATTTATTTTGTTAATGTAAATATGTACCCTTGTTTTTTGACGCATAAATACAAACCGTTGATCGAACACATATGACTTCCCAAAAAACAAATTCCCCGAGAGAATTTTTTGATGTAAATTTCATACGAATTGTTTTTAATAATTTTTTTTTGGCGTCGTACCCTGTGCCATTGATTCCGATCATATCCGTCGAGTATCTTACCGGAAATGGTGAATATTATTATTGAAACGTCAATGTGTTTTTCTATAAATCTTTCAAATCTGTCGGTAGACAGACGTCGAACTTAGAACTGGGCAAAAATGATCTTTGAAATTTCTCAAGAAATTTGCGACATAGAGAAAAATCATAAAGGGATTAGAATATCTTCATTTGCAAAGAAAATTTTCATGGCATAATTCTACACACACTTCAAGAGAAGCTCATTTATGGATCAAAACGATGGCTTCAACACCCTGAAACAACCAGCGTCTGTCGGAAAGATCAGGCTTATTTATTATTACTACAAAAATGAGCATAACAATCATGAAAAGCATCATTGATACTCATTTTTTCCTCCGGGAGCTCTGTACTCATTTCAAAAGATGCAGAAAGATGATTTACAACCAGTTGGCAAGACAAGAGTATAACTAGAAACGAAAGATTTTAGCTATGAAATCGACCCTGTATCTCTTGGTTGCCATATTTAGAGCAGCAATTCATCTAGTTCATTGTGCTCTATTCATAGGTACGTCGAATCTTTTCTCGTTTATTCACGAAGAGATCTACTCGAAAACTATGTCAAACACTATATCTCAACGAGATTAAATAATATGTACTTATTCGATTTAGATTTCTCGCTGTTTTTAGAACACATGTTTTTTTTTTGGAATAATTTTCATAAACTTACTAATGATAATGTTGATCATTTCTTTTCGATAAAGTGGAACAAAAGATGAAAGATTCGTTAATTCACTTTTGTAGAGACATGCTTTATCCTTCGTCCATAAAACTATGCTTCCAGAACTGGTCAAACCCTCTAGTGTAAAACAAACGCATGATCTTGCGATTAGAGTCCATCGGATCCAACAATTATTGGATTTGAATCTAATTGATTCATCTTTTTTGTGGATAAAGCCCATCAAGTCCAAGGATCTCTGGCCCCGGACCACCTGATCGAAACAAAATTTTCAAATCCGCACCCAATGGGCTCTACTTGTGATCCTCCCTTCTTTGTTGAACCGGTTTCTTTCTCTACGCTCCTCCGTTAGATTGTTGTTTTCTCCGCTTCTTTTGTTCCTATCTTTCGATTTTCCTGTAAGCACTTACAAGTGTTACAATAAAATAGAGCATAAATCAAATAGACGATATATCGTTAGAATGCACTTTTTTTTTCTCAATTTTCTATCATACAAATAAGATTAGAATGAATATTATCGAATGTAAATAATCTGCAATGCAAGAGTAATTATCGAAATCTCGACTCATAGTTCTCTGCTTGGAAATATTGTAGAAAGTTCATTCTTTTGTGTATTAAAAAAGCACAGTTTAAACTTCAAAAAAATTTTCTGAAATTAACTTTGAGTAAGAGCAAAAGTTCAATATGAAACATACTGTTTTTCTTATATTTTTTCTAGAATTCTGAAAAACAAAATCAAACTCTTTCTTAAAAACCAAAAAGATGAGAAAGCGATCATTACAAAACTTTATCGACTTTCATACTTTAGAATGTTTCTTAAGAATTTTTTAACAGTAAACAATGTGTATTATACGTCTTTGTTTTGATAGAAAGCAGGACAGAAGTTGTAAGAACTTTCTTTCTCATTCAAAAGTTAATTTCAAAGAAATTTTTTGTCCTATGTTTTTTAAATCTCAAACTTTACTCGTTCAGTATGAAAATCTCCATGATATTTTTGATTAGTAAACCATGAGTTGAGATTTCGACTATTACTTTTACATCCTAGATTTGATAATTTGAACAAAATGAATAGTGTTTAATTAAATATTTACATCAAAATCTATTGAATATATATCGCCCGTTTTTTCCCCTGTTAACTTTATTGAAATAAAAAGATAAGATTATTAAAAAACAGAAAAAAAGATTTAAATATATTATTATTCAACTATATTAGATTTATTATCAATATCTTCTATTTTTTCTTGTTCATCTTGTTGTTGTTGTTGTACTTCTTCTGATATTGGAATGTGTTCTTTTATTTCTGATGAAATATTATTTTCATTTGATTGAATCTTTTTTTTTGACATAACAGAATCAATTATATTTTTAATTGGTTCAATAATTTGTTCAATATTAATTTGATTTAATTTCGATTTTTCACTTATATCCAAAACTGATACACCTAATTCACGAGCTAATTGTGCATCAGGAAATAATACTTGAATACAACTACTTATATATGGAATAAATATTTTAATAAATATACGTAAAAAATCAATGAAATGTTCAGATTCAATAACAGTTAATGTTACTTTTTCAGATTTATAATAATTTGTTAAAATATTTCTAATATGTATTAATGAATCAGTAATAAGTTGTTTAATAGTTAAAACAATTGATAAAGGACAACAAAGACGAAGATCATTAAATCCTGTAAGTAAAACATTACAATAAACAGCTAATGGAGTATAATTAACAAGAATCATTGGTGGTGAAAATGGATTTATTGATATTGTTGAAGAATCTAATATTGTTAATTGAACATATTGATCAAATGTATATGAATTAAGTAATTGTTCAAATAAATGATTAGCTTCATGAAGTGAATTTTGAAAATTTGTTAAAGTTGTACGAGAAAAAAATTGTATAAATAATGGTCGAAAATCAAAACCATATCGAGAAAATGATGCACCAAAATACATTACTTGACCAAGTAAAGATTCAAGTCGTTGATATTGTGAACCTATTTATATTTAAAATTTTTAAATCATTTCTTTTTTTTAATATCTTGATTAATAATATAGTATGAGTATTTTAAGGATTCAACATCACTGTCAAAAGATCCTTCCTCAGCTTTTAAGGATGAAAGCCAACTGTTTGTCATAAAAGAGAAAAGAAGTAAATAAAAAAGTTGAGATTTCAAGTTTAACTATAGAAAAATCTGCACACAATGAAAAACATTATCAAAAACCTGAAAGATTAAAGAGATCTTAGAAACATGCGAATAATACTTCGAAATACTCGGAAGTTAAACTTTTAAATTTATTGACTTTGTTTCTCTTCATTTTCATTTATATAAACAAAAAAAAAGAAAGTTATTAACGTAATCTAGAGATGCAATGGTGACGATCATTCACCGGCATATCGTCACTGTTTTACTGGTCCAACTATGATAACCGTAGGTACGGTTATCGGTTCAAGCCGGTTTTCACGCAAGAAAGAGTTTTTTTAAGAAAATAACGATTTTTTTTTAAAATAAAGATTGATGAAAGTAAATTGGGGTTAAGGAATCCGACTCTAAAGTCGGTTTTTTTCGATCTGAGCTTTCATTAGTCAGAAAATGAACCAATGAGAAAGGAGCTTTTTTTTCCTTCGCCTGAAGGAAAGTGATATGAAATAAACAAAGCTTGACAGACTAATAGCCAAACATCGAAAATATTTAATTGGCCGAATTGACTCTATCCTAATGACTGCCAGATCATAAATTCATTTTATTTCATATGATCCACAATTCAATCGAAGGGAAAAAAAGCTCGTTTCTCATTGATTCAGTTTTTTGATGAATGAAAACTCAATTCGAAAAGCCGACTTCAGATTCGGACTCCTGGATATTGACAACCTATTGCAAAATTTTATTAAAAGCTCGAAAAATCTTCATATAAAAAGCTCGTTTCTTATTGATCCAGTTTCTGACCAATGAAAGCTCAGATCGAAGAACCGACTTCCAATTCAGATTTACTTTCATCAACCTTTATAAAAAAAACTCTTTTCTTCTTGAACTAATAACCGTACCTACGGTTGTCGTAGGTAAACCGGTAACCGTAAGTGCGGTTATCGTCACCATTGCATTCCTAGCGTAATCTACGCGAGATTGAAATATGAATTCTTCTGAAATGCAATAAAGAAGTAGTTCATATATTATAACAAGACATTATTGATATATACAGTTAGTGATCATAGATCAACATCTTGTTACGATCTATGGCATATAAAAATATTCCTAAGATGTCTGTGAATGGTCCAAATTTCTATTTAAATCCGTGTGTTTCATCAAAATGATTTCTTACCACTACAATGTTGTAAATCAATTTGCAATACTTTTAAAAATTCACTTAAACGATAAATAAGCCATGAACGAAATAAATTTGTTTCTTTAATAAATTCATTTCGATTAAATGTTACATATAATGTTGTATCATCATCACTAAATAATGCACGATATTGTGTAACAATATCAAAAAGTATATTACGTGTTTCATCAATATATTTTGATGCATGTTCATAATAATCAATCATATTTGTTGATGAATATTGTTGTTGAATTAAACCTAAACGTTTATGTAAAAAATTTGTACGTGCTTGAAGAAAACAAAGACGTAATTCAAGTTCATTATAAATATCCATACGACGAATAAAACCCATTATACGTAAACAAGCTGGTAATTGTATATTTGTTTGAAGTTGATTTATTAATTGTTCAAGCATATATTCAAGTGATAAACGTACATCATTAACAATATTTATTATAATTGGTATATGTGAAGTTGTTGTTGATAATATTATTTTATTTGTTGATAAAGAAAATTTTCTTTCCAAACGTTTACAATATGTAACTATTTCAAGTGCTTCATCAAAATAATCATTACGTACACATGTATCCATTAATTGTGGTATTTCAAGTATTTCTAATAATTGTGGATATTTTTGTAATGTAAACATATTTTGTTTACGTAAATAATTTGTTTGTTCTGTTTCACGTATAAATTTTTGACAACAAGATGAAAATTGATCAAGTTGTTTTAATATAATTGATAAACGTTCTTCAATTGTTGAAAAATCATTTGAAATATTTTTTGAACATTCAGCTGTTTGAATAAATGTTGAATAATTATTAAATATTAATGATAACATTTGTGTTGATTTTGAACATTTTTCATCATTTAAATATTCTAATTCACGATGTAAACGTTCTGTATCATATGTAAATAATGTTTGAAGATAAGAAAGATATGATGTATAATCAATTGAATTTGTTGATAAATCATCAGATGAATTTTTTATTAATGATTGTAAAAGAGTTTGTTCATCAAGTTCCATGAGAAATTAATCTTAAAATTAAATAATTATTAAAGATTAATAAACAGTGGATTATTTAGATTTTCTTTTCCGAAGGGACAAACACTCATTTTTGAGGACATAAACACACATAGTATATGATATAAGAATCACAAATTCGAGATGGATCAACTTGATCTTCGCAAGAGCGCTGTTCCTTTGGCTTTCACAAAGAATAAAACATTGAATGTTTGAGATTTGGTGAATATAGCTGAAGCTTGAATTCATATTTGGTTTAAAACTTCGAATTCGAACCAATTTCAAGTTCAATCATTTCTACATAGGTGATTGATATATGACTGATTCTGTACTTTGAAGATTCTAGGGAATAGTAGGAAGATGTGAAGTAGCGGCGTAACCAGGATTTTGATGGTGATGGGCTGTGATGGGGCTCAACTACTCAAATTCTGCCCAGTGGCAGGGCTCGCAATAGAATTTAGCTGGAGCGACTTTGCCAGGTGATGGGGCTGAGCCCCAGCTTGGTTACGCCACTAATGTGAAGGCAGATATATAATGTTCGGATCTAGTGGCTGAATTTTCCTGCTTACAGTAACGAACAGCCCATAGCCGACTAGAGCCAGCCGTTAGATACAATCATCATAATACTGCTTCTCAGTTTCTATCATATTCTGGAGTTTTCCGGTTGGAAAATCATGGAGTCGGACACCAGAATACTTTATCCGGGCAGATAATAACTAAAGAGAATCCGAATGAAAAGGTCTATAACGACCCATATACCTTCAGAAACGCTAGGAATTCACACTTAGTTGTCAAACTCAAACCTGAGTTTGACTTCGGAACATACATTCTATTTACTGTACAGGGATTTTTTTATAAGTAGGATTCAGTGAGAGTAGAAAAGATTCTTATAGAGTTATAAATCTATGAAAACCTTGCATTTAATTGATTTGATGAGTAAATGCAAAATCTCTTTTCGATCTACAATAAAATATAAATGTTAAATGCAGTTAACTAAATACTGAATTTTTATATCCTTTCATAATATATATATGGAATTCTTGATTTTTATTCATATTTCGATAAATAAATTTTTTTTACAATTAAAAATCTTTCGAACTTACTAACAACAAAAGAGAGAATATTGTTTAATATATTTTTTTTTTATTTGAATTCATTTGTATATAAAATTCATCTATTCTATAGATTAATATGCAATTTATGATGATAATTATAAGTCTTCTACTATTTCTATTCTCGATTAATAAAAACAAAAAAACAGAAGAATTATTTCTTTTGATTTTTATATATTTCTTTTCTTTTGTCAATGAGAAAACGAAAAACACAAAACAACGATAGATAAATTAAATCTAATCATTTCATTGTCATCCAATAATCAATAAGTTTATGTGAAATACATCTTGGTAAAATTGAAAGACATGTTATATGAAGAGCATTCAACCAATAACCAGCACTACGATCACATCGACCTAATTGTCGTAATATTGTATCAACATATATTTGTGGTTTACATGAACCCCATATTAATTCATTATTTTCATTTAAACCATGTTTAGATAAAATATATTTTTGAAAATTTTCTACATTACATACATTTGTTGATGAACAAATCCATCGAATAGGTAAATAAACTGTTTGAAAATGAAGTAAACCATTATTTGAATATTCATCTTTACGTGCATTAAAATAAATTGTTAATAAACGATGAAGAGTAGAATTAAGACAAGATGGATGTGGAACAATATTTAGAAGATATGCAGGTCGATGTCGTGTTGACATATATGGTAGAACCTAAGTTTTTTTTTTTTTTTTTTGTAAGAAAAATTTCATTGAAATAAAATTTTTGAATTTATAAGAAAATTCTTTTTCTCAAGTATCAAGAGACTTTCAAGAGTTTATTTCCCTGGTTTGTGAAATCAAAATATAAAATAAGATATATTCATTAGAGGGTGTGAGTGTGGATGAGAATTTTGGAGTGGGTTAGAGATGGCACAGTTCTCGTTCCTAAGGAACGGGAATTCACTTGAAAATTCGTTTCTTGAGATTTTTAACCATACCTATTCTTTTAATTCGGGTTAAGTAGCGGGGTTTCTAGTGTTAGCTTTTGCTGATATGATATTTATATTAGTGCTTCGTTATCGAAAAAGAATATTATAAAGTTACTGAGTAATTTAGAAAATTTGTTGGAACAAGTAATTCAGATGAAGATGATCATTATTGAATAAATGTGTGAACAACGAAAACACATATGAGTGCCTAACAAGTACTTCTTTCATCTAGAGCTCTGCAGTTCCAAAAAAATTGGAATCGAGGACCGGATTTTTCTGTCTCTCTTACCCGGAACCGTAAAAAAAACCGGGTAGAACCGGAACCGTTAACTCAATAACTCGGTATTTTATATGTTACGGTAAAATCGTCGATTCCTTTCTCGGTTTCGAAAAATTTTAGGAACCGCAGGGCACTACTTTCATCACAACAGCATTTACAATTATCATCAACAACATCAACTGATGCATTGATTGATCCATCCATCATCAAAATCACCTGACCAGATTAATATTAAATCGAAAAATCTGATTCGCTGTGAGTTTATTAGGTGATATTGCCTTACAATGGTTTGTAAATTTAAACCTTAAAAATCAATGACCCTCATCCTGGAATGAATTTAAAGATAAATTCCCATGTCGATGATTACGGACTTTGTATACGCCTGTAAACAACCGTATGTGCTCTCCATATGATCGTAAACGGTCGTATTTTGGCGGTTTACATGGTCCAGTATTACGATCGTATATCGCCGTGACCATATACTGAGCAAAATAGAGACTGTACACAGACTCCATATAACTGTCGATTTTTAAGAACAGCTTCGCCAATAATTGTTACATTTACGTCAAAAATATTGATTACAAGATTAAATCAAAATTAAAACTAATAATATACTCAGTAACTTCACAATCTTCTTTTTTTTTTAACAAGTGGCCTTCATTATTAACAGTAGGAATGGGAACTCTCGCCGAATTCCTGAGAACGAAACTAGGAACTGATATCTCACGCTGTGGGGTGCAGATCTATGTTTCTGAGTGGCTTTGAAGTATGGTTGTAGACAGTAGAGTTTCCGCTCTCTTCATTCCATTCCAACAGCTCCAGTCACAGAATAGTTAATGAAATTTTAGCAAATGCATTAACTTAATACAACTCATTTTTCGTGGAAATGTTGTATAACCTATTTCTCTAAGAAGCAAAAAAAAAATACAACTCACGATATATGCTAATAACATAGGTGGTATAAGATAATTATTAACAATCGATTGAAATTCAGCTGGATTGAGTGTTTTAGATAGATTTTGATCATTAAATGGTCGTGTACAATTAATATAAAGAACAAGATTTGCACTACGTGCAATAGTTTCAATTGTTTCAAGACGATCAAATGAACCAGCACGATGAAAATTATTTGATAATGGTATTTGACCAACAGTTGGTGGTGTACTTGTTGACCATGTTCCAGCTACAGTTTGTGTTGGTGTTGTTAATTCAAGTGGTTGATATGGACTATTCCATCGATAGATAACTGTAACTGTACGAATTAAAAATGTACGTTCAATATGTATGGAAAGTAATTTTAATTCTTCTTGAAATTCTTCTGTTGAAACTAATATAAGATTATAACCACGTTTCTTAAATAAAAAAAAAATAAAGATTTCAAAAAATTTCAAAAAATTATATATTTACAGCTAAATTTTGTGCAAATGCACAACCACTTGGTGTTGTACAATCATTAATTAATGCCCAATATTCATCATAATCTGATTGAGATAAATTATTACTATTAGAACTTGTTATTAATGGTTTTCTTAATAGAACTGAATTAATTTTATATGGAAAAAAATAAAGTTTTAATGTTCGATATAAATAATATGGTAAAGGTAAAAGTTTTTTTAATATATAACAACCAGCTAGAAGTGCTAAACCATCTCTAAGTGGTCCATATATTGAATTAATATCTTTTGCAATAGAATGATAAAGAAATTCAAATGAATCAATCGAAAGTGGTTGTCGAGGATCAATAATTAATAATGGTGACATCTAAAAATACAAATAGAAAAAAAGAAAAGAAAAGAAACAAACATTTTTTTTTAAATTTGAACGATTTGTTCACTATTCATATAATCAGGAAGTATTATTTTATATTTATCTTCTAAAATTTTAGGAACAAATCTTCCACCTAAAAAATGATATTTTCCTTGAAAATATTTCATACATAATTTTGGTGCTGTTAATGAAATAACACATTCCGGTTGAATACAATTATCATTTAATGGACCTTTTTCAACATCCCAACCACTTGGTATATCAATAGAAATAATTGGTATTTTTTTTTCTAAAATTTTTATTTCTTTAAGTATACCATTAAATGGTTCACGTATTTCACCAGAAAAACCAAAACCAAATATAGCATCAATAATTAAATTAATTTGTGTTTCCGATGGTATTTTATCAATTATTTCAATATTCATTTTTTCACATTGAAGAAGAAGATTTTTATATAATGGTTTATCAGTTCGTTTAGGATAAAAAATTAATGGATTATAACCAAATAATTTTAAATGACGTGCACATACAAGGCCATCACCACCATTATTACCACCACCAACTATAACAAGACATTTCGAATATTTCTTTCTATCATTATATGCTTTTTCTAAATGAAAACAAATAAAATATGAGAAATAGAAATAGAAATTAAATTCTAATAAGAATTTTTTTAGTAAACAATATATATATAGTCTCAGCTTTTTATTATAACACACTTCAAAAACAATAAATACACTTATTTTTGGATGCATCTATAACATTATAGAAAATAGAGATCACCATCGAAACTGTGCCGTAAGCGGTAGATTTTTTTTTTAAACAATCATCACGGGACGGTGAGGACAGCGTGTTCTTTTTTTTTTTAAAGAACATTACAAAACAACATGAATGTAAATAAAATTTCAGCGTCTACAAATATAACATTCTGAAACTCAATCAATCTCATGGATAATAATACTAAGGATGTATCGAGAGTCTCAATCTCAATACAGTCGCAGCAGTAAAATTCGAAACATTGTTTTTTTGGTATCGATTTCGGTTTAGAGAAAACTGTACGAGAATGTATTCGTATCACATTTAAAAGAATTCTTCAATACCTATTTTTTGATATCTTGAGTCAACGACTAGCATTTTTTTGGAGAGTCATCTCTTTTGAGTTATGTTCTAATTGGTGATCTATAAGATAATTTGCTTAAAAATCATAGAATATTTAATTATAATCTTTAGCTTTGGTTAGAAGCTCTGCATATCTGTGGTTGCGGCAATGGTGCTCGAGCTTTTCTTTTCTATTATTGCGATGCAACAGTGCTAGACTTTTAATCGTGATCGATATCTCTAATAATAAGTTAGAATGATGATAAACCAATATTTAAATATCAAGTCATTCTTTCTATTAATTTATCTACATATGTTTATGCAGTAAGATAATTGATTGAAAAGAATAATTAAATATTTGATATTACACTCGGATGTATATCAACATGTTTCAGAAAGTTTCTTGTAGAATCGATGTAATTGTATTACTATCATTGTTTTATTATCGTACAATATATCTATTCAACGAATAAAAATCGATATATAATCAAAAGAAAAGTTATATTTAAATATAACTAGCGAGAGCCCATGCATACTACACGGATGCATTTTTCCTGGAAAGTTTCACATCTGTCCTTTAGCCTTGATTCGGTAATAGACAAGCAGACAGTTCGCATTATATATATTTCGAGAGACCTTATACTCTTGTGGTATTACCTCTTATAACTTTATTCCGTTATTCCTTATATTCCATGCAGCCTCATCTCCTTATACTCTTTTAGTTTTATCCCTTATGTCCCTGTAGCCTTAGCCTCTTATCCCTTTATCCTTATTTCCTACCCATTATAGTCCTTGAAGGCCTATGGGGACTCCTCAAATAAAAACTCTTGTGGACCTATGGGTACTCCCATATAATAGCCGTTGAGGACCTATGGATACCCTCACATAATAGCCTTTCAGGGCCTATGGGTGCCTCCATATAATAGCCCTTGAGGACCTATGGGTACCCTGATATAATAGTCGTTAAAGACCTATGGGTACCCTCATATAACAGCTCTTGAGGGCCTATGGGTATCTCCATATAATAGGACTTGAGAACCTAAGAGTACCTTCATATAATAGTCTTTAAGGACCTATGGATAATATAGCAGCACTTGTAGCCTTCCCCGGTACAGCCTTATTTGACTTTTGACCTAGGCACACAGAAATCAGACAGACACTGAACATTATATATATATAGATATTTAAAATATTCGATCTCAATGTATGTAACACTTAACTTGACAAATTACTAAAAGAAATTTTTTTTTTGTTGCTTACCAATAGCTGATGCACAACTTAAACCAGCTAATTCCATAAGTTGATCGACACTAAATTTATATTCATTAAAAAGTTCTTCATCAATATCTTTTGCTTGTTGTTGTGTTAAATAAGATACTTTTGATGTTGTCATTGTTCTAATCTGTTGAAATGAAAATAATCTATTAATTAATCGCATTTAAAAAACATCTATAAAACAATAAAACAATGATTTCTTTTTTTTTATTTTTGTTTTTTTATTTTCATAAAACATCTACTGTTCACTGAAATAAACAATACACACAACTAAACAAATTAGTCAGATTAATAAAAACATAAAATATATATAGAGAATTGAAATAGACAAAAGCAAAAAAAAAATTTTTTTTTTTCTATACAATTATGATTTTTCATCATAGTCATTAAGAAAATCAAAACTTGTTAAATCTGGTTCTCCACATGCATTTCTTATATTCATATCTGTATTATTTGATGGAAAAAAATTTGCATCTATTATTTTTGATCGTTGTTTATTTGAACGTCCTTGTATTTTTATTTCATTACCTTTAATTCTTATACGTTGTTTACCATCTATTTTATTACCAACATTAGCATATAATTCACTTATACGACTTGTTTCATCATCAGCTATTGATGATGATGAATCACTAAGCAAATCAAAACTTGAACTAGTTGGATTTGTTCGGTTTGATACTTGAGAATTGTATAATATTTCATTTTCATCATTTATTGAAGTAAGATTTTGTTCGCTTTCATCATAATCATCATCATCATCATCATCATCTATGATTAATACACGATCTTTTGTTTGAATTTGTTTTTGTTTTTGTTGTTGTTGTTGTTGTTGTTGTTTAAGTTTTCGAACATCTTCATCATCATCGTCGTCATTTTCATTTAAACCTGGAGTTTTTATTTTAACTAATAAATCTTTGCGATCAATTAATGTACGTCGTTTATATTCCCTAATTAATATAAAATAAAAGATATTTAACTCAACAAAAAAAAAAAAAAAATTTTTTTATTTTGTTTTTACTTACATTGATTCGTCCAATTGTTCAAGTATAGGAGCTAGACGTTTCAATAATTTCGGTATTATTTTATGATAAACAATAGCTGGTAATGTAAAAAGTATTAACATAACTAAATATGACACATAATAACCATTTATTTTCATTCCAATATAAGCAAGTAAAAGAGAAATAAAACTAATAATTATTGAATATTTCATACGATTTTCTGTTTTAATTATATTTAATTTTTCATGTGTATGACATATATATTTATATGAACGTAAAAAAAATTGTGTTAATTCAGATAAATTTTTTTCTTCATCAATTATACGTTTTTTTCTCATACAATCAATTATATGAAATATGAATAAAACTAATGTAATAGCACAATATGGTTTTAAACCAATATGTGCTATAGCATAAAAAATACTATGACCAAGTATAAATGCAAATAAACTTGCATATCGATTATGCCATAATAGAAATCTTTCAATACGATGAAATACTGGTTCAAGTGTTATTATAATATCTTCCATATCTGAAATTAAAAATTAATATTAATTCTATACTCATACACAAACTGAAAATAATCTATGTATATATACATATACAGTGTTCGTCAAAATTTACCCAATCAGTAGATAATTTTATATATATTTCAAAAATTAGATGAACTAGAATGATTGAAATTTTGTCAGATTATAATTTATAGTCTCTAGTAAAATAAATTTCAGATCAATCGATTGATCTATTTACTTCTTTTTGATAGTCCGTTATATAAAAAGTAATTTTTTTTTAATCGTAGGTTTTTCCTTTGAATAAAGGCAATATTCTTTTTGACCCATATCGAAAATTATCGACAAAAAAGACACATTTTTTTTTTCATATGATGCTTAGTCAATTTGAGTTTAAACAACACGGATTTGTGGCAAACATTTTTTTTCCATACAAAATTTCTACATTTGAAATCAAAATTGATTAGATCATTTAAGTTATATAATTTTGTTCGAGTATAAATAGGTGAAGTAAAAAGCTTGCTATATGAAAAAAAAAGTGTCTTTTACCGACAGTTTTCGATATGGGTCAAAAACACATTGCTCTTACTCAAAGAAAACCTATGATAAAAAAAGCACTTCTTGCATGATGCCCCATTTGTTTTATTGGCCTATGTATCATAAAGAAAATCTGAATTTTTAGAACAGGCTCGAAATATTTTGCAAAAGAAAACTAAACAGATTAATCGATTGATCTGAATTTTATGAAACACGATCTAAAAGATTTGCACTCGCCATCCTCACAGACTGTACAAGACATTAAATAAAAGAATGATTTAGAAATATGCCACAAAATAGATAGAATAAAAGAATTTCTCTATGATTATCAAGAGCAGCTACATCGTATTTCACATGAGAGATTGCGCTAATAGCTTTTTTTTTTACTAGAATACTAGAGACTATGAATAGTAATTTGATAAAAATCAGATCGATCTAGTTGTTGCGATGTATACAAAAATAATTAACTGGTTGGGATAATTTTAACAGTATACTGTATATAATAATAAATAATCATTGGCTAATAAAAACAATATCATCTTGTTTATTTTGTAGATTTGTTATTGGTTTAGAATGAATATCTATAACCATATCAAGTTGATAACGTTCACGAGATTCAAGAAAAAATCTTTCAACATCATGAATATTTTTTGTTGAACCAATTATACGTGATACAGTATGAAAATCTTTTCCATATTTTGCAAATGCTTGTATAGCAAGAAGAATTTCTTCTATTGACCATGTTGATGTTGTTGTTTCATTTGAATTTATAGATTTTATAAGAAATGGTATATGCATTGTTTCAAGTTCAATTCTTGATTGATTTGTTAAATATTCAATTGATTGATTATGTAATTGTATTATTGATAATTCATAACGAATATCTTCTTCTAATTTTTCAATAGAATTTGATGATGTTAAATTTATTAAATCAATTGACATATTTTTTGGTGGTCGTTTAACTTTTTTAATTAATGATTTATTTTGATATAATTCAGGTTGCATTAAATTCGATTTTTGCCGATAAATATAACATTCATTACAAAGAATACCTTTTGGTGTTGAATGTATTGATTGAGAAATTATTTCACAATTACAACATTCTTGTTCTTCGGTATTATTTTGATTGGATATTATTTTTGAATGATTATCCAAATTTCTGATTCAGAAAAAAAAGAAACAAACAAACAAGAAAAATTATAACATTTGAATACTTTTAAAGCAATCAAATGATTAGATTTTTACTTTTTTTTTTTTTTTTCTTTGAAATACTATATTAAAAACAAAAGAAAAAAAGTATATTTCAAAGAATTATATTAATGGATTGTTGTTTTTCGTGACTAAGAAATTTAGATTTGATGTAATACGAATCACAGCTCGAAAAGACTCAATCATCAATCGATCGAACTTTTTTTTCTTGTGATACTTATCATTAAATTGATAAATTATGGAGATTCACTTGATGTACAGAGATTACAAAAAAAAAAAGCTTGACTCTGCGTTTTCGGTCGAACGACGTAGAAACTTAGAAGCAGAAATCCGTTGATCGCCTCTGCCCGATTCACTGACCTGGATTTTTTGATCTTTTTTTTTTTTCTTATTGCACTTACTTTGTCGATACACGTACTGATGTTGTAGTTCTTTTATCATTATCATCATTACTTTCATAATCTTCATCATATGGCATTAACTGATATTGTTTTTCATGTTGATCCATGAGACTTTGATATAAACGAGTTTTTTTCCATGAATAATAATATCGAACAAGTTCAGCAATACTTTTTTCTGGTAACATTTGTTTAATACGTGAAAATATTTTACCATAAAATTGATATGCTTGTTCAAATAGAAATTTTTCTTCAATTGTCCATTGATCAATTTCTGGTTTATATTGTTCCATAAGTAATTTACTTGTTGAAATTTTATATTTACATATTTGTAATATAGTTAATGCTTGTTCTTCATTCATATGATGTTTTTTATAAGCATAATTAATATAATCTATAAGATCATGATCATTAATTAAATCAGTTGGTTTCCAAAAAAGAATAGCATCATGATCAGTTGTTAATGATATTGAATTAAGTGCAGGTATAGTAGCTTGATATGATATACCTTCATGAATTTGAACATTATTATCTGATAATGGATCAATTTCATTTGATTTTCGTAATGATGTTAATGTTAATTTCATTATTTTTCTAGAACATAATGATTAAAGAATAATTGCAAATAAGATATCACAAAGAACCAAGAGAGAGAGAGAAAGAAATTTGTTTGTTTGCTTTTATATGAACAAAAAAAAAAAAAGAAAAGAAAAGCAGAAGTAAAGAAAAAAAAACGAAGAAGAACCGTCCGTATTTAGAATCATTTATTCTTTTTTTTTTTTGTTTTAATTATTAATAATCACTGAGATGGATATAGTGCTCCTTCAGATGGTTGAGATAATTTAGCATTCTCTTTCGATGACATATTCGTACGAATTTCATTTAATACTTGATGAATAGTCATATCTCGATTCCAATTACGAAGAGCTGGAACTGATTTTGATTCCACCTTAAATCAGAAAAAAAAAATTTCAATATAGAAAAATCAGAATAAATTTCCTTACAGAACCATTAGCTGCTACACCAGCTAAATTTATACGTGTTTGAAAACGAACAATTGGTGGTTCTTCTGGATAACGATCACCACAATGAACTTTTAATGTATAAATACGATTTTCATAAGGTGTCTGAAAACAAAAAACAAAAACAATTAATGATTGATATTTTTTTTTTCTGTAAGAAAATAATTTCTATTGAATTAAATCTTACTCTTGATGGTCCAATAATCATACAAACCCACCGGGATAACGACATGTCATCATTTGCTTCAAGACCCCATGATACTGATCTTAAGAAAAAGATGTTGTTGGTCTTTTTCTTTTTTAAAATTATATATATATATATATTCTAGGAAAATTACCCTTCATGATGACCTTTTTGAGCTGCTTCAAGTTCTTCTAACAATTTAAAATTTCGTGGAACAACTAAATAAATAATAAACAAATTAATAATTATTTTATTTATATATATATATATATATAAACAAAACCTGTTCGTGATGAAAAACTACTAGCCATTATTTGGTAATATTAAAAATCTTTAAGCAAAAAAAAAATATTTAATATTTTCATAAATTAGTCAATCTAAGGGAAAAAAATCATAAATAAACAATAATCAGCAGCAGATAAGTATGTGTGTTCGTTTCTCCTTCTTTCCTACTGTCGATACTTTGTCCAATAGAATTTCAATGACAGTATGTAGAGGCGACGAGTGCTTACTATGGCGACTAGGCAACTGAGTTGCGCGAATTTACCGAAACCATGAGACTAATACTTGTATTAATAGACAAGCTTTTTGATAATCAATGTTATATGTCAGTACTTTAAAATGTTAAGCTTTCTTTTCGGACGGTTTGAAGATTTCACTTGATTTGGAAAAGTCAGTTTCGATCAATGAAGTATAATACTAAATGGGTCGTGTCGACTCGTACATCATAATACGCGTGATATCATGCGTATCAAGTGTGATCTCTATGGTGTCACATACTTACCGAGCGTTATATGTATACTATTCCATGTCGTATGTTTGTTTGCATTATCAACAGTAGTGCTTACAGCTTTCGATTCCACCTATAAACGGTTGCAGAATGTTTTCTATTCAGATTCGAATTATTTGTTAGAAAGAATTCGAATTTAATCACGAAAAAAAAAAATAGTTTCAGAATATATTTTGACTAATAAAAACTTTTGCAGCGCCATCTATAATAAAAAATTTATCTCGGTAACTAGTACCTATTTGGTCTCTATGGCTAGTATTAGGGATGGCCTGACCGAGGATGTCAAGATATGACAACCTTCTCGAACAATTGGAAATTTTTTTTTGTTTTTAACAGTTAAAAAGTCGAAAAACAATATAAAATAGGACTTTGCGCTAACTCTTTTTCAAAAAATACTGGATTATATAAGATCTTATCGAGCAAGATATAAAGTAAAATCAAAATTTTGTCGCTTCGTGAAAAAGCAATTACCAGTCAATTATAATTGACCTAAGAATTCTGATGTATTATTTCAGCAATTTTTTTATGTCTAAAGAGCTTCCTTTTGTGAACAGTCGTCATGAGCATGGCATTTATAAGGTGTTCCTGAGTCCAAATTACACTAACTGTGTTGAAAAAAATGCGCGCCTATTTCTTAATTTTAATTCGCTCAGAAAATCCGTGTATCCTTCTTTTACTTATCTATTTTTCTATCGTTTATACTTTCGTGTGTGCGCATCTCTTGTTTTTTAATGGATGCTTCGTTTCCACGATAACATTTATTGAACTGTATTGCTTATGCAGAAAAAACACACAACAAATAACTAGAAGCCTATTGTTTTTTTAAAATACATACCTCCTCAGTCAAAAATTTTTTTACATTCCCCAAAGTTCGAAGGATCTGGCCACTATTGTCTTAATTTTAAACAAACAGTATTATTGTTCCACACTTTATATGTGAACGATACATTCATTGACATATACCAACTGACATTTTTCTCATCCAGAAGTATTCTTACTTTATTCTTGTATAATTGTTCATTTCTTTTATACAATATTTGATATACTTTATAAGAAATCAAAGCAGTTAGATATTTATTTAACATAGTTAATTCTGTCAATATTTTATTCAATTAAAAAGATTTAATTGATTTGAGCAAAAAAATTGTAACAATAAAAAGTGCTATCAAATATATAATAAATCAAAGATATACTATGTCTTGTTTGTAAAGCTGTGTACATTGACTGAATAATAACTAGTATTATCTTATTGTATTGTATAATATTCTATTGTAGATCATCTACAAGAACAATTGTTACAATAAATAATCAATTCTATACGAATTTCTTTTGTCAAATTTAAGAATAAATCTCTCAGTAATATTAATAATATTTGATCGATCATTTTTGAACCCTTTTAATTGTTAGTTCTTGGAGTAGTCGCTAGAGCTCATCAGGCCCAATAATTTTTGGATCCTGACCAGATGAGCTCTAGTAGTCGTTCACAGCAATATAGAATAGAATTCAAGTAGTACTGAGTCATGTCTCATATCTATGAATCATATATGCGAAAGATGATCGCATCAGTCTTTCGTCATCATTATGTTCTAGGATTATTTATATATTATTGTTTTCTCTTTCTCAAATGTGGGTGAAAAAAATGATTCATTTATATTGTGAACTACGCTCATCAATTCCAGACAATGGAAACGTTTTTCTTTGAGTTGAATACGAATATGGGAATGTGTGTATGTGCAATGCTGTACCTAGAAACCAAAATAGAGAAGACAATGAATTTTTTTTCAAAATAAATCAATAATATTTCTGAAAAATGGTTGGTGTGAGATCATCTTTTTATAGTACGGATAGTCACACGTTTCATCTGATCTTGTTTCGATAGAAACAGATGATAAAATAAAAATGATGGGATGACCTGATACCAAGACAATTCGTTGCACGTACATCTAACAGCATTGTTATATACTAATATAACTATATATGTGTAATCAAATATTTTATACAAATTTCTTTCTTCGATTAAATAATGAAGATAGACCTTACAATGAGCAAAAGAAAAAAGAAATCTAGTTGTATAAGATAATATTCACAAATTTACATTAGCTGTCAGGTCACTTAAATATTGAGCCAAATCGTTATTTTCATATGCTTAAACAAGTCGTTTGATTTTTGGTTTTGGCTCGTGATCTTGACGGACTTGTTTCATATCGACTTCGAATTTCGATTGTTCTCGATAAATTTTGTTGGTCAGCTTTGTAATTGTTGGATGGCTGGCAAGAACACTATTCGCCAACGCATTATGTCATCCTTCATCTGCGTTGTTAGATCGAGGTAAATCAGTTGCTACATGATCATAGACATTCCACAGTTCATGAATAAATTGCGGCTTTTTCCGACCAATACCTGAACAAAACTCAGTAATACACAGTGGACTTTGATTACTAATCTTACCTCGCTTTTATTTCGTTCACGAATCCATGTTTTTTTCAAAGTAATAGATAAATTCATCAGCGCTGTTATCGAATCCGCTTTCAAGTGATTCATATGTTTTCACTATACTTATAACTAGTACAAATGTTATTGCAATGAATTTTTTTACATTCAAATAAAAAGACTTATCTTCATAGTACTTTTTTGTTAGTCCACAACTCTAAACCTGCTGTCATACGCATTACCCATAGTGAAACAGACAACCTGCAATAAGAATCATCATGCTAGATTTGAGAAATTTAACAACTTCTATTTTTACTCTTATGCAATCGTGATTTCGATATCGAAATATAAGTTTTACATGGGTTTTTCGTTCTAAATCGTATATATGAGAATCACAAACTACCAATGGTTTTCCTTTTTCGCTTGAAAATTTTTCTATTTTAACCATTGTAAAAACGTATATTGTAATTTCTGAGAAAGCAATACAAGACAAGAGAGTTATTCTATAAAGTCACCGTTTATACATGAATTGTATACCAATTAGACATTGCACATGTTAACTGATATTATTAGAGAAGTTCTACTAAATCTTGTTTCTATTTTGATCAAGACCAAAAAAATCACAAGAAAAATAAGCACTCTATCTATTGCTTCAATTTTCATTCAATCATAATTGATTGAAGAAGTCGTTGACTAATTAATAGATCATGCGATAGATTGTCCGGTCACCGGAATAATCAACTAAGACAAGAGAAAGAGAAAAGCTTTTTGAAAATTTACTTTTCTAAAAATCAGCTATTATTGTTTGATGATAGAATTATGATCCATTTTCGCTGTTTGAAATAATCCTTCAATGATGTTCTCTCTCAGATTAGAACGACAGTTGACAAACGATGATAGACAACTTTTCGGCAGTAATACAAACTTCTACTGCAATATAAAAATGATACTTGAACAATTACACAATTTTTTTAATGTGTAATCTCAGGACCTTCTCAAATTTGTTTCTTTTCCATGTAAAAACAGCTTCTTTAGGTATGAAAAAAAAACTATCAAAATAGTTTGAATGAATTTTTATTTTGATCAAGTGTGATACAATTGACGAACAATATTTTACTTCTTTTCGTTGTCTGTTCGAAACTAGTCTATTAAATAATAATTACGATTTGTTTGTAACTTTTCCTTCTTCCTACCACTGTAGTTTATTATGTAAAGAAGACAAAAACGCACATGGATCGAATAAATAAAATGTTGTTTAGATCGTGAATGATATAGATTGTATGTTCTATTACTGCTTTGGTGATCTTAGAATATGACGCAGTCATCAAATATTAAATGTCAAACATATACAATAAACATAAAATATGAATCATCACACATCGATCTGATTGTATTACCAAAAACCAATTTAGTAAGATATTTGAAGGCACAGAATATACTAATGATAATAGACTCAAAGTAATTTCTATATTTGTTAATTCATAAAATATTCTTTCTTTCTAGCTATGAAATGATCTAATTGATAGTTCGCAATTCGTTGATGTTTAACTGAAATATTATTCAAAACAAGCAATTATCTATTTGGATTTGTCCAAGAGGCATGGGAAGCGAATGTTAACTTTTTAAATGCTAACTGCATTATGCTTTTGTCACCAGAAGCTCTATGTGATATCTATTTTATTGAGACGCATCAAAATCTGCTTCATTCTTTGACACTGAATACATGGTATAAAAATTTTACTGTTTTGCCTTGGCATTGATAAAAACTAATGGATTTTGTATTTAATAGCAAATCAACTCTGCATTGTGAGGCAGGTAAACTTCGAAATTTGTTCAAATGCACGATGGAATTAGAATGTAAGATGTTTCTTTCTATCTAACAAATACACTGTATGATATTTTCTCTAATGCTCGGGACCAAAGAACATATGGATTTTTTCAATGCTCTCTGTTAGTCCCCATATGTATATCGTTATAGAAGAAGCAGTATCATTGGTGATGTATGATAAAACAAAGAAAAAGATTATCTTCGTGGGATTCGAACCCACATCTTATGGTTGTCTTAAGTTAGTTACACTAGAAGGAATATCTTAATCTTTGTTTGGTGTCAAAGTGCATCATCACAAAAGCTAACCATACCAGTTCAGAGAATATTGATTATCTCATCGGAAGTATGTTTAAATTGTATTTGAAATAAATAGATTATTTTAATGTTTTTTTTAGACAACAAAAAAGAGCGTTCAATATTGAAAAGATTAAGAAAGTCATTTTTCTCTGTTTGTTTTTTGACTCGTTTATTGATCGCCATGTTTACGTTGTCAGTTCATGTTAATTTTTTTTTTGATTCATTATTTTAATGCTTCGTATGGAAGAAAATAAACTTTGATGAAATTTATTGTTACTCCTTATAAGCTGATAATTGATCGAAAAATACTTTAGAAAATATTTTACTGCTTTGTTAAACAAACAAGCTAGTTTATTCATAGAAAGTAGCGCACTATTGAATAAAAAAGAATAGAATGATCATATCATGGTTAAACGTTGTATAATGTGCTATTGTAGATATTATACACTTTGTCATTACTAGACAAACGAAAAAAGCCGTCGAAACATAGCTGTCATCTGAAGAACATGTAAGTAAAAACAAAACATACGTTATTATCTGCGTGCAAGAGCAGAACAGCGGACTCCAAGATTGCGCTCTTTCTTATCTTGTCTTGTTGCTCTTAAGAGTTGATGGCCAATGATTTTGAGATGTTTTTTCTCTCCACATTCTAGATCAATTTTATGGCAAATAGATTTGTTTTGTACAATTCTCTTCATACGTATGTCTTTTATTTTAGACTGATTTGTTATTTATATAAGTTTTAATCAAATATCTAATGAAAGTGTAAAAGAAAAACAAACATTGCCATATTCTTTAATAACATATTGTTTTATTTATTACATCAAAGCTTTCTTTTTATTCCTTATTCTATTTGCTATTTTTCATAAAGACATTACCAGTTAATTATAGATTCACTCCAGATTCAATTGAGTTCGTGCGTAGGTATTGCGACAAGCACATGCAAGACACTATTCTTAACCAAACTATTTTTTGTTTTACCTAGTAAAAAAAAATAAGCGCACAACATTGCTGCTTTTCTGAAATGAGAACATATAGTCTTAACTCAAAAGTGAATTGACAACTAGAAATGTGTTACCTCAAGAGATTAAGGTTCAATAAGGATTTCTTTAATCTTTAACGAGTTTGTAGAATATTCACTAATATCTTCAATAGAATTTCTTGTGAAGTTTAAAATATCGATTTATGATAATACTGATTCACAGGAGTATATGAAACATATTGTTTTTCATACATTATGTGATTTGAATTAAATATTCTATGTCGTGCAAATCTCCAAAATGAAAAAAACCCAGTTCGAATTGCTCGATATTTCAATTTTAATTAGTCATAGTTAAGAATTATTTGAGAAAGTCAGAGAACTCAATCGTATTATTTTTTTTATGTGTCTAAATTCTTGAAAAAATTTTGTTAACTTTTTCATTCTAAATTAATCGAATTTTTCGTAGTATAAAATAGCAAGAAAACAAACTCTTTTCTAAAAATTTAAACAATCAAAGAATATTGTAAGTTTTTTAATTATTTCGCTCATACTCATAAAAATAAAACCATGAAGGAATAACCATAAAATAATCCATTTTCTAATTAAACCATTGATGATTCAAGAATAGTTCATTGCCTTGGCCCATTCATCCAATAGCCTGTTGACTACGGAATGATACACACTTGTCTTTGAGATTAGTATGTTCTTAGCCAGTATGTATGAACAGCTGAAGGAAACGAATGAGAAAACCCTGATTCAAGCTAGCCTTCTGTTCAGAGCTGCAACTAGTAATAGTTGTAGGGAAGATATTAGAATTTCCAAACTGTCTTCTAAGTAGTACCGGATACAGATATTCGTCGTGCAGCACTAAAATCCTGGGAGACAAACTTTTTCGAGTTGCGAATTCCGGCTTTTTTCAAAATTTCTCAATCCTGGATGTCTCGCAGGACGAGACAAACGGAATTCGAGACTGTTCTGTAAGGCTATATATATGGTACCAACAGTAAAGCTGGTATTTCTTCCATCTAAAATCGAAAAGAATTTTATTTTATTATTAATACTATTTGAAAAATTAAGTGCGAGAAGAGTAAATCACGTTTTCTTCATAAAAAAAATCTATCTATAGTATCACCATGTATTCATTAATTTGATTTTTACAATATGAGATTTTTTTTTGCTAATTCTTATGATGAAACATTCACATATATTGAACTATTCTATTTTCATTTATGAGAATAGATTGAAAATTTATTTTGTTTTCTTGTGTCGCTAGTTGCTGGATGGTTTCTATCAGAGAACTTGATTTGTTATCGTTTTCTACCAATAATAAATCGAATTTTCTTGTATATCTGACATGTAGAAAGGAAAACAGATTTATTTATGTATCTATATAGTTTCAACTATTTTGGTATAAGCTAAAAATTTTTATTAATTAAACTGATCGTTTATTGAATTATTAAGAGTAGATAGAATTTTTTAAAAATTTATAATTTAATAAAAACTGAAATATATTTAGCATAGAGAAAAGTTTTACTTTATTTTTTTTTATAAATATCTATACTATTTATTATTTTTGAAGATGAAATGTTTCGACGTATATTATCAAATAATGTATATTTTTCTTTTGAACAAACATCAAATCTTTTATCATTATTTAAAAAACGAATAATTTTACAAACATATTATCATACTGATTCAGTTGATGGAAGTTTTCCAGAAGAAACATTTGATGAACAACGTCTTTCGTCACAAGAAGCATCAGGAATATTACGAACACATGAAGCTAGTATTGATCTTGAAGCAAATTGTCCAGTAAAATATTACGAAGTTAATTATCTTGGTGCTAATAATCCACCCGGTATATGTATGCTATTTATATATGTTACATAAACTAATCGAATACTTAAAAAAGAATAAATATAGAAAACATTATCTTTTTCTGTCAAAAATATTCTATTTGAATCGGTTTGTTTTTTAATCTTAGCCATTTTCAATAAGACCGAAAACACAATTTACAAATTATATTCTTCATAGATATATGTTCATATTTTCTTTTACATTAGTCAGTATCATTTTTCAAATCATTATAAATGATTAAAAAAAAGTTTTTTTTTTTTTTTTTTTCTAATAATTAATATTCGATATTATTCATTTCTCTCTTAGAGGATCGACAAGCACAAGCTCGTATACGTTCACCTGATTCAAATACATATCTATTTGGTGTATTTGATGGACATGGTGGTCCATGGTGTTCAGATGTTGTTGGTCAACGTTTATTTGAATATATTGCTGTAACATTACATCCACCAAATGATTTAGAAAGAATAATGCAAGAAGGTAAACGTTTAATGAATATACATCAAACTCATACACATGGTCATGATAAAGCATCATTAAATAATTTAACATCATTACTTCTTCATTCATATTATAATGCATATAAAGATACAAGAAATTCAAAAATAAAAGAAATCCATCAAATGAATTTATTAAAACATATTGAAGATCTTTATACAACAATTGATCATGATAATACAGATATTGTTGCTGCATTAGAAAGTGCATTTATTAAATTAGATCGAGATATATGTGCTGAAGCAATACCTACTGGTACACAACAAGTTGATGAAGATTTATTACAAATTTGTACAGCTGGTTCATGTGCATGTGTTGCTTTAGTTAAAGATGATAATCTTTATATTGCTAATTGTGGTGATGCACGAGCTGTTCTTGGTAAATTAAACTGTTTTTATTTAATAGAATAAAACTTCTTTCTAACGTCAATACTATTGAGACTAATCATAATTGCTCGTTTTACGGAGATGCTTATTATTGTCAGATTTTCAATTCCCTTTTTTTTTTTGTATTGACATAATTTGATATTACTAGTTGTTAACATAAAAATGACGAGATGTTACATTATCAAGTATTGTTGCTGATAATTTTCTTTAGTGAAAATCTAAACATACTTTCTTTTGATTTTGTTGTCAAGTACTTGTAAGCACTTACGAGGGTTACAATAGAACAGTATATAAACAAATAACATCATTTTTTTTCTTATTCTGCATTCGAGTGATGCAACATGTGTTACTCATAGAGAGATATGTAAGCATAATTTTAGTTCTGGTCTTCGTGACCTAGCCTACGAGAAAAAAACTATTCTAACCAAAATGTAAGATTATCATAAGATATTTTATAGTTTCAAACAGAACTGTGTGCGACCAATTTTTGAAATTACAAAAATTGATCACACAGAATTTTGCTTTTTTTTTTGAAAACAAAAATTACACAATTAAAATAAACTTGACTATAGAGATTGTAGGGTTTTTCATGCTGCATGTTGTGATATATGCTGATTTTTTAATAAAATGTGTTTAGAGATTAAAATATGAAATGCAAAATATACGACCATTTATTCTGGATCATCCGTTGGCTTTTAAATATAATGTGACACATTTGGTGGGCCAAAAGTTTTGCAAAATTTTTTATTTTACATATATCACAGATTCAGAGAATAATAACATCTTGATTCTTTTATAGAAAGATACGCTGTGAAAAGCTCTACAAGAACTGTATGGAGAGATCCCTATTAACTGTCTTAACCAGTTCTGACAGTTTTTCCGTGCTCAATATGAACATTCTGAACGAGTCAAGCTGTGAATTTCGAGGCATTCTGGAACTTGACTTGCCTACAACTCTTTACATTCGATTGTAAAGTATCCAGTTCCGTCACATAAAATACTCAATTCATTGAACTCTTTCATCCTAGATATGATGATTGAGATTTCGAATCAAAAAAACTTTTCTATGATCGATTTTGCCAACAAATTCATTCTCTGAGCTTTTTTTTTATTTTGTACATATTTCGACTAAACAAAATTATAGGATCCTGAATTTTTTCTGAAAAATGTATCGTGAAAGGCTCTATACAAGTTGTATGATTAAATTTCTGTAGAAAAATAAAAATATTTTATTTCATATTGATTATAGAAAACCTATCAAAAGAATTCAGTAGGAATTTCTTAATACAATTTTGAAGAGCTTTCCACGGCGCATCTTTGTACAAAAGAATGAAGATGTTATTAGTCTCTGAAGCAGAGATATATGCAAAACTCTTGGCCCACCCGGTATATTGCAATGAATGTAAGGGGTGAAGGCTCAAAATCTCTACCTTTTTACTTCAACATTCCCTTTAAATTGTGTTTCACAAAAAGTTACCGTGACAAACAAAAAGCTTGGCCCCAAATATCTCACCAGATCAGCAATAAGTGTCCACTGTTGAGAATAAAGTGGTTCTCATTATAAAGAAGTTTTACTGCATTAATCAATTAAAAGGAAAATAATTCTTTTTTTTTTTTTTGTTTTTGACAGGTACTATTGATGACGAAGGCAATCAAACAGTTGTTCATCTTTCTCAAGATCATAATGTACGTAATCAAGCTGAAGTAAAACGAGTTTTATGTGAACATCCAATAAATGAAGCAAATTCCGTAATACGTAGTGATCGTTTACTTGGTTTATTAATGCCATTTCGTGCATTTGGTGATATACGTTTTAAATGGCCAGCTAATTATCTTCGCGAATATTTACAACCATATTATAAAAAAGGCGATGCTATACCACAATTTTATTTAACACCACCATATTTAACTGTTCGTCCTGATATATCAAAACATAAATTAACAAAAAAAGATAAATTTCTTGTTTTAGCTACAGATGGTGTTTGGGATTTATTATCATCTGAAAGAGTTGTACAACTTATATTTAATCATCAAAAAGGTATACAAAGTTTTGATCGTTTTGTATTACATAAAAGTGGTAGTACAGCAACACTTAAATTAAAAGAAATTAATGAATTATTACTTGCAAGACAACAAGCTATTAAAAATCAACCAATTGATCAAAATTCAGCAACACATTTAATACGTCAAGCACTTGCATATACATCAAAAGGACAATTTGATAGTAAACTTTTATCTGATGTATTAACATTTCCTAATCCACGTTCAATACGTGATGATATAACAATAACAGTTGTTTATTTTGATCAAGATTATATTGATCATATACAAACAAAACAAAAGACAAAATAGAGAATAAATGCAAAAATTTTTATGTTAAATAGAGTGCTTTTTTTTTCTTTCTTTCTTTCTATGTCTCTATTTGATATGGAATTATTTTTTTAACCTGTCACCTCTCAGACCAAGATTATTTTTTTTTTCTCTACTCTTATCACATGTATTCCATGTGACAACTATAATAGATTTCTATTGGTCTATTCTTATTGTTGAATAAGAATTTTATAGAATAAAACTTTAGTCAATATATTTATTCAAAAAATAATCTCAATGAATATTCATAAGATTTATTTATTATTTAATTGAAATTCGTGTTTAAAATATCGACACTAGATCAGTGATTTATGTAAGATTTTCTTTTTTCCAGAAAGGGCGATTTAAAACTTTGGAAGACTAAACGCTTATCTTTTGGGAGCATAGGCATATTGTATGTGGATACCATAGCCATAAACTCCCGTATACCCAATCCGATCTTCGAAGGAACACCTAGATACAGGCAAGACGACCCCATCGAGAACAGAATTAACATTTTATCATCGGAAACAATATCTTTTTTTGGTTATGTAAAGCTTGCGTCAAATGTCACGAGTCATGTGTCCTAAATAGAGCTATGGGCAGGATGGTTCCGGCTCCGATAGAATCCGGACAAAAATTTGAAGATAGGTAGCTCTGATCCTCAGCTAGTACGTCGCCCTAAATGTCGTTCTTGCTCTTGGCCTAATCTCTTCCGTTTGATGATAAAATATATAGCCGGATTTTATAGAAAAATTCTGAAAGCTGCTGGCTCTTTCAAAGAATAGGTGTTAAATTTGAATTATCTTTCATTTTTAAACATTCATAAATATGTTTATCTTCTTGTTGTTGGTGTTCTTCAATATTAATATTTTCTTCTTTTCTTATTGATAATAACATATGTAAAATTGGTACATTACCTAATCGATAAGCAATATGAATTGCTGTATGTCCAGCCGGAAGACGTCTTCACAAAAAAAGAAATACTGAAAATAGAATTATATTGAAACAAAAAATTCAATCGTACAATTTTGGATCGGCTTTATTTGCCAAGAGATATTCAACACAAAGAACTTGATTATAATATGTAGCTGTTGATAGTGCCGATTCACCATATAAATTAAGTGCATTAACATCAACACCTAATCAGTAAAATCAAATATTTATTTACATTTTATAAATGTCAAGTAAAGAGTACGTTCGAAAACGATTTCGTTTTTATGGTTAAAGTATTTTGAGATTAATTTACTTAGAGTATACGAAAAGTAGTGACGAAGATATTTTAATACCTTTGTAAAAAGCTTAAGCAATCCTTCATAAAGGAACTAAACTACTTTTCGTATGGGTATGGATATGTGCAGTCCAATGGACAAAAAGCGCAATTCCAGTACTTCGAAGTACTGGAGTCGCGTTTTTCCTCCTCGGATTCTACCTAACCGCTTCTGACTCTAACTAATTGTCTTTAAGTAGCCGAAAACGTACAAGAGAATTACCCGAACTGATATCCGCCGTTTGAGCTCATATTGACTTTATAAGGAGGAGGTTTCAATAAGACTAAAAAAGGCTCTAAAAGGGTTTTGACCTATGGATCTCTGGAGCTGAGTTATGAAAGTTTTACTGAATTTTCGATATCTAAGGCTGAATCAAAAATTCACTATAACAGCCATAGGTCTACTCCATAGGCACGAATTCTTTTAGGGTTTTTCTAATCTTAACGAGACTTCTTTGTAAACTCAATATGAGTTCAAACGGTGGAAGTGAATATTTTTTACTAAGATTTTCGCGCCATAAATGAATAGAAGATTTGTAATTTGATTTCTTATAAGTATATTTACTGCTACATAAGAAATAAGATATTCATCTTAAATTATCATATATCATAATGATTAAACAGGAGTCTAAATAAAATTTTTGAAAATGTATCTAAATTACTTACTATATAATTGTAAACATTTTTGAATTTTAACCGTTTGACCTAATCATGCAAATTGACAGAAATCGTCGGCATTAGCCATGATCTGAAAACATCCAAATCTTGCCAGAAAAGTTCGTTTTCTATTTTTTGTTTTCTTTAATTCTATATCATTTTAATCTCAATATATCGTTCTTTTCTTTTTTGCTATGTGAAAATAAATACTAATTATGTTCTTTTTTTTTATATAAATTATATACAAAAAATAATTTTCCACTAAAATCAGAAAAGTGAAAAATGTCTAAGCGGTTGTATCATGATGTGTTCGTTTAGATTTAATAGTTGATGATGATAAAGTTTCTTCATTATGTTGTTTTATTTGATTATTATCTATTGATGAAAGAGTATTCGATGTTAATGAATTAATTGTATGATTTTTATTTGTTGAATGAAGTAATGTTAAATAAATATCAGTTAATATATCATTATCTGATGTTCCTTCACTAAGTGTTGTTGCTGGTGATGATGATATTGATTGTGATAAAGGAATATGTATTTCATTATTAGGAGAATTTATTTTTTGACTCATCCAAAGTGTAAGAAATTTTCCTTGACTATCAATAGTTGATCGTCGATTTGATATATCAATTCCATCAACTATGACAAATTCAATATCTAAATAAAAAAATATCAAAATTAATTAAATAGTAATCTATATACATAATATTCAGTGTCTGTTGGACATCTCTATACCCAGGTCAAATAAGGCTATAAGTGCTGCCATATTGGGATACCCCATAGGTCCTCAAGGGCTATTATATAGGGGTACTTATAGGTCTTCAAGAGCTGTAAGGGGTAGGAAATAAGGATATAATGGTAAAGGGATAAGAGGTTAAGGCTACAAGGACATAAGGGATAAAATTAAAAGAGTATAGAGAGATAAGGGTATAGTGGATAAGTAGAAGAGGCTGCATGGCATATAAGGGATAAAGGAATAAGATTATAAGAGATAATACCACAAGAGTATAAGGCTATAAGGTCTCTCGATATACATATATAATGCGAACTGTCTGATTGTCTATTACTGAATCAAGGCTAAATGACAGATGTGAAACTTTCCAGGAAAAAAGCATCCGTGTAGTATGCACGGGCTCTTGCAAGCAATAATAATAATTCATATTTAACCTTGTCGTTGATAAACATTTAAAATTGAATGTAATGTTTGATCAAATTCAATAATATAAATCAGATCATAAATAATTCCTTGTGTATTAATTAATTGATCTTTAATATTAATATGTAATCGATTTACTGTTAAAGCTAAACATGGACTAAATCTATAATAAAAATTAGAGAATTTAATTTTTAATTTTTTGTTTTCTCGTAATGAAATTTTTACTGACTGTTTAAATGTTAAAGTTTTCAATTGATTTTTATCATTACATCGAAAGCATATACATGATAATTGACTTGATTCAATTAATAATTTTAATTGTATTTCATCAACATCATGAATAACATCATCAATACTAGAAAATAAAACACAATCAATGAAAGAATAAGAGATCACTAGGATTTGGTTTTTTTTATGAATCTTTTGATTAAACTTTACGTCTTCGACACTCTCAAAAATAACGGAAGAAATTTATCGGATAACAGAAAATTTCAATCTCTACCCAAAAATTGATTTCGGGTCATAAATATTCAAATCGTATGAAATTTTCAACTTTATGTCATAAAGTTTTCAGGAGATATTCATCAAAAAAGATGCAAAATAGCTCAAAAATTATCTGTAGATACTTAAAGTGTGTTTTCTTTTTTATTCGAAAGAGCATGGATGACTTGCAGCTCCTGACTGAATTCTTATCTTTTATGCAGAGAAAAAAAAAGGAGATAACAAGTTTACTACATGAAAACCGGCCGGGTTTTTTGGGTGAGGTTCTATTGTTTAATAGGAATGGCTTCAAGAAGAATATTCATTTTTTCCTTTACACTTAGATTTTTAGAAATCTTCATCGGTAGTTAATTACTAAACTTTAAATCTTGAATTTTTCTATTTAGATTTTGTAGACAAACCTAATGTTTCTTTTTGAACGACGGTCCAAATCTAAATCTGATCTCTGAAGAAATAACTCATATTGTTTATGAAAGATCCAATGTCAATCTATCCTCTTATGTATTTATCTTAATTTCAATAATTCTCATGGTAATGAATTTTTGGATGTGAACGCCTTAAAGAAAATCAAAATTTTAGTTTTAACTTTTAGCTTTGATATAGATGCTGAGAGTTATACGAAATAAAATTGTTCTTTGAATTAATACCTATTTGATATTGTACAATCACATTCATGACATTGACAATGTTCATCAAGAATAGTTGAAAATAATTCTTTGAGACATAAATCAGAACGAAAAAGACGACGAATATTTTGTATTATATTTGTATGTAAAGAATTCTGTCTACAATATTCAATTAAATAATATCGATCATTTTATTTATTAAAATATCAATATTAATAAATTATAGAATAGTATAGAATCAATAGCTTTTTACTTTAAAGCTAGATTCCATATACATATAAGATAACGACATATGAATGTCATCCGATAAAGCTTGAAACCTGATTTATTCAAGTTTATAGCCATTATCTAACGTCAAACTACATATATCGTTATCTTTTGATTTTTACCTATAATAATAAAAAGAAAAGTATAAATGAATTATGAAAAAAAAATATTTTATTAATCCCAATACTAAAATTCTGTTTTATTGACTTTAAATAAGTAAATGTTATTTGTGTGTGTTTTATAACTCACTTTAATATATTTTGTAAAATATTTGTATAATCATTTAAAAGTTTTATTTGATCAAATGATGAAGAAAATAATGTTTGAGAAAGATTATGAAATATTGATAAATTTCGTGACGAACAACGATATAATATATCAGTAAGACATGTTGATATTATATAATAATTTGATGAAAGTTGTCGGGTACTAATCAATCTCGACCAAATATTTTCACTAGTCATTTTGAAGCAGAAATAATTTAAATAGTTTTTTGAAAGACAATTTAACTATTTAGAGGTTTATTTTCTTCAAAAATGGTTGATATAATATCACTGTCCTTAAGCGACTTCTATCGATTAATATTTTTTCTATTCTCAATTACTCAATTGTTTGTTGAGAATACAAATACGTGAGATTGTAAATTAAATAATGATGTGTCTCGAGTGCTTGTAATATAAATAAAAAAGGCTTATCGTTCACCATCCTTTCTTATTTTATGTAGACAATGACCTCGATATCTAAACACGTTTTGAACAATTAGTAAATGGATTATAAGCTTGAACTCAATAATATGAAAGAATATATAAAAAAAACATTTTATTCAAGTTATACATCATTGAAATCGAAAGAAATCAAAATGAATAATACAATTTCTCAATGAATGTTAAAAACGTGATTTTATGTTAAAAATATTTTATTGAATATAGTTTTATTATCTTATAAATTTCAACATATATCATTCAATAAAAATGTTTGTAATTGAACAACAACAATATTTGTTAGTTTTTATTTTCATGCTTCCTTTATTAAAACAAACAATTGTTAATGGTATTGCTGGTCGTTGTTATTTATGTTCACAAAATATACTTGCTGAATGTGTTGGTAGTAATCAATCTGATTCATCTATTTATACAACTATTCTTAAATATTATACTGAACCATGTAATGGTCAATGTATATTATTTCGAAATACAGATCATTCTATTGTACGTGGATGTTCATGGACATATGGATATATGACACCAAAATCAATTGGATGGCATGAAATAAGTCCAGGTATAAAAGTTTACTTTTGTAATTCTCATTTATGTAATAATGGTACTTATGAACAACCAGAAATATCAATGATAAATAAACAATTTATTTTATCACCTCAAGATTTATTTGTATTAGCAGGGAATAATCCTTCATTGATAGCAAAAGGTAAATTTGATATAGGATATTTGTTTTTTTTTTATTCAATGTGTTATAGACATAAACAAGTAGCGAATCGAAGTGTATGAAGGGACATCTTCAAATTTCAAATATAGTTTTTCATTGGAGATTATTGCCATTTGATTGATCATAATGAGGAGTGAGAAAGTCTGTTTGAATTTCGTTTTCCAGTCTTCGCTTATTCGACTAGCAACGATTGAAACTAAATCAGACTTTTTTACTATTTATTAAGAGAGGCTTCGCCAGTCAGTCGACTATTGTGTCATAGAGTTATTTTATGATAAAAACTAACATATACCTTTTTTCATATCAATCGGTTGTTCATACAAAACTGGGATTAGGAAAAAATTTTTCGACTTCTGTTATCTAACTTAACGGAGTTACAGGCATTGAAACACGAGGGATGTCTGAAAAACTAGGGAAAAAAAATTAGTTCCATTGTTTTCCTTTATATCTCAGTAATTTTTTGTTCTTTCAGATTGGGCAACGTCTCATTCAAAAGAGAGTTTAAAACTGAACAAAAAACTTCTTAGATATTCCTGAAAAAATTAAGTCTTCATATCGTAAAAATTTTTCTTCTAAAAAACTCGGCATTTTTGAAACGAAGTTTTTTTCATTGTAAGTCTTTTTTTAATATGATAATTATTTGACGAGAAATTTTATTATATGGCATCTTGTAGAAAATTTCACACTCTACAGGGTGTCCTATAATAAAATTTCTCGTCAGATAATTATCATATTAAAAAAAAACTTACAATGAAAAAAATTTCATTTCAAAAATGTGAAGTTTTTTAGAAGAAAAATTTTTACGATATGAAGACTTAATTTTTCCAGGAATGTCTAAGAAGTTTTTTTATTCAGTTTTAAACTCTTTTTCGAATGAGACATTGCCCAACTCGAACGAACAAAAAATGGCTGAGATATAGACTAAATACTGTGGGTGACCGTTTTTCATTGATTTACTCGAGTCCTTCATGTTTCAACGTCTGTAATTCCTAGAGGTCTAAAAATTTTATCATAACCATAGTTTGACATGAGTAATCGTTTGATGAAAAAAAAAGCATATGTTAATTTTAGTCATAAAATGGAATTTCTCGATGGTCTCGCAAAACATCTCTTAAGACCGATCGACTGGTAGAAACTTTAAGTGATTGAACAATAAGGAATCTAAAAAGTTTCTAATTAGTATAATGTTCTAGTCAATTCTCTAAAAATAATTCATATATTTAGAACAATATTGGTCTCATCAATGCTATTCATGTACAGCACGTTTTCAAGGTTGTGGTGAAATTTTAGATCCACATTATGCATCAAATTATATTCGTCCATGTCCATCGAGTTGCATTATTTTTCGAAATCCTAATGATCTTAATTGTAAATATATAAACAAAAAAAAACAAAAAAATATTTTTTGTTTTCTATACTTTATATTGAAGTAATTACACGAGATTGTTCAATATATTGGCCACGAGTACATGCTAAAAATGGTCTTCATAAATTACTTGGTTCGGATGCATTCTTTTGTCAAGAATCTTTGTAAGAAAAATAAAAATATAAAATAATCAAAATATTCTTCTTTTTTTTTGTTAAAGGTGTAATGGGATTAACTTCGATTTCATCATAGGTAGTTTTTCATATCTATTTAGAATCTTAGGAATTGTTGAAAATATTTTCTGATCCTATCTAAACAATTTTTTTGGAGATAGCTCTTCCAGATATAAAAAAAAAACACCTTTGTTCTGTTACTGAAATTTTGAATTAGAATCTGGGCGATTCCTAAATAATAATGTTTAAATATTATTTTGATAAATAGGGATTTTTTATAATCAATTACCAGTTCCTACAAATGGAAATATTTTAACAACAACAACAACAACAACTACAATAAGAACAACTGTTGATATCTATAATGATAATGTAATATGGGATGATCCTGATTTAGATTTTATTCCTATTGAATCAACAACAATACCAGATGTTTTAAATCATTTTTCTTCTTCTACTCCTATTGATCATTTTGATTTTATTAATCAAATATCTCCTAGTAGTACAATTGTTGATGATTTAACTAATGTACAATCAAATTTAACATTAACTTGGTGGAATTTGAATGATACTTCATTTTCAACATTAATGTCATCAACTTTAGAAATTGATGAAGAAGATTCAATAATATTTAATACAACTTCAATATCATTAATTACACAATTTGAACATTTATTAGATGATAATGATAGAGAAAATAATAATAGTGAAGAAATTGATGAAGAATTAATAGATTTAAAATCTAATATAAATGATTATAGTCTTTCTTCGACATTAACAACAACAACAACAACAACATCAATTATTGAAGAATATATAAAACGATTATCAACATTTCCTACATCATCATTCTCTCGGTTATTGAATATGACAGAACAAAATAAAAGTCAATTTTTAAATTCAACAATAACAAATCACAAGCAAAATGTTCAATTTTTAAATTCAACAATAACAAATCACAAGCAGAATGTTCAATTTTTAAATTCCACAATAACAAATCACAAGCAAAATGTTCAATTTTTAAATTCAACAATAACAAATCACAAGGAAAATGTTCCGTTTTTAAATTCAACAATAACAAATCACAAGCAAAATGTTCAATTTTTAAATTCAACAATAACAAATCACAAACAAAATGTTCAATTTTTAAATTCAACAATAACAAATCACAAGGAAAATGTTCAATTAATAAATACAACAAGTAAAACATCAAATATATTTTATGAATATTGTAAAAATAAACAATGTTATCATCATGGACGTTTAAATTCTGATTGTTTATGTATTTGTCTACCTGCTTTTACAGGAGATAATTGTGAAACAGGTAAAAACGAAAAAAAAAAGTTTCTTTTTTAAATAGAAATGTATTTGTTTTTTTTTGTTTTTGTAGTACTTTGTGAACAAGAACCAACACATATTTGTGCTTTTATACTTGAACATGAATGTCAGATTGATTATATTCAATATTTATGTCCTAAATTTTGTCAGATGAATAATTGTTCTTCGTTAGAAATGTAATTTTTCCTATTCCTTGTATAGGAATTATTAATAAAAAATAATCAATTTCGATATTTTTATATGATGTTCGATAAAGCTCTATGAGCTCTACAAAAATTTTCAAATGAACAAATTGAGCTGAAAAAAATGCATTAGTACTAAAAACATCAAGTTACACTAGCTTGTAGACATATTTTTTTAATATCATTATTCTATAATGAAAAAAATCCATCTATTACTGTGTCGCGAAGCGAACAGTGAAGAAACAATCGAAAGCTGATTGGTTCATTGAACTCGTTTTTCTTGATTCGTCAGCCGCTACAAGATATTCACTAACTTATGTATCAAACAAGTATGAGAAAGAAAGAAACACGAGATTAAGTTCCACGTGCGCACCGATATATTCTTGTTTCAAAATTCTTTCTTCATCTCCTTCGACGCAATCTCTTGCCTCCCAGTCACAACTAAAATCAGAAACTTTCTTTTTTCCCCTTCCGATAGCAAAATGCTTTAATGCTAAACCTTCATTTTATCAAATGCACGATACAACGATAAAGTGAACAATCTTTCTTTTAACTTCAATCATTAC